ATTGAAATTTCGCAAAAATGAAACTGATTGATTGTCTAGTCGGTTGGTTGTTTGGCTGGTTGATTGGTAGTTTGGCTGGTTGATTGATTGATTGGTAGATTGATTGATTGATAGATTGATTGAAAAATTATTTTTCTCACTTCCAGGGCAGTCTGATTAAACCAGCATTCATCCGACAGCCGGGATTCTTACTCACACTTGGTCTATGGACAGCCAACGTCCAACTAGCCAAAAAAGCTCGAGAAAATAAAAAAAACTAACACATAAACTGCTCAAAACCTAAATTATTCCGCCTAAAAATCCAAAAATCATGCGATGTTTCGTTATACTTCACCTATATAACGCTTTACTTTGCATATAAAAGTAATAAATTAATTTGAATCGTCTTCTTAATAAACCCATCACTGTTTGAAATGAGAGTCATTTTTGTAAATATAGAAACAAAACAAAACCAAAATAAATTGATGAATGCACGCACACACAGACACACACACAGCACGCACACACATACATGTATATATATATATATATACATAGTATATATACACATATATAACAGATACATATATGGCATACACAATACATGCAAGAACGTATGTATGTATGTGGTTCGTTACTTGATCTCAAATGTTTATTTCAATTTATAGAGTTCAGGCTTGCTGGCTGTTATGTGCATTATAGAGTCTGATTTACATTCGATAATAATATAAATAATAATAATAAAATAATAATAAAAGTAGCAGTAGATTAGCGATAAAATATTATGAAGAGATAATAAATATTTATATAAATAAACTATATTATACATATTACACGTATTTAATACTACTACTACTACTACTACTACTACTACTACTACTACTACTACTACTACTACTACTACTACTACTACTACTACTACTACTACTACTACTACTACTACTACTACTACTACTACTACTACTACTACTACTACTACTACTACTACTACTACTACTACTACTACTACTACTACTACTACTACTACTATTACTACTACTACTACTACTACTACTACTACTACTACTACTACTACTACTACTACTACTAATACCACTACTACTAACAACAATAACAGCAATAATAATAACAATAATTTTTGTAAACATGACGTCATCGTCGTCGTCACCATCACCATCTAGCTGGGAAGAAGTTGACGGAGAAATTATAATGAAAGTGCCAAATAAGTTTATGAATTTTCCGCTAGGCTTTGCCACTGATGCCGGTGAACTATTGTCATTATTATTATTGTTGTTGTTATTATTATTGTTATTGTTGTTGTTATTGTTTTTATTATTGTTGTTGTTGTTGTTGTTATTATTATTATTGATGCTATAGTTAGATGCTGCTGCCTATTGTCACTGCTCTTTACGAGTCAACAAAGTCAGAGATCTTTTAATACGTGCGGTCAAAGTGAATACAAATAAGAACAATAATAACAACAACGATAATCATAATAATAATAATAATAACAACAACAAGAACAACAACAATAATAATAACCACAGGAGCCTCCATAACGAAACTGGCATACAGATCAAAAAAAGATTACAATAAAGGGCAATTAATCACGGTATTATTATTATTGTTGTTGTTATTGTTATTATTATTATTATTATTATCGTTATTATTATTATTATTTCAGCCATCAGATTACGGCTTGTTGCGTCTCAGAATTTTTAAAATGGCGGACGTATGTCAAATCGTCGACTTCCTGAAAGAGAACTGTGACGTCATGGAAACAGGAAATGGAAGTGGGTTTGAAAATGTCACGTGGTACATGACTGGTGTTATTACGCAGCACTTCAAGGCTAAACTTGAGGAGGAATTCGGAATTAAGTGAGATTTTTATGTGTGTTGGGTTGTGTGTGTGTGTGTGTGTGTGTGTGTGTGTGTGTGTGTGTGTGTGTGTGTGTTTATGTTTACTTTATCTTATACCCGCAGAACAAAACTTTGCTCAGAGGTGCTAGGCATTCAAGAAATCGTAAAAGTATCATCCGACATTAAGTTAGGCTGCTACGAACTCGATTCCAAAGCATTCAACCTGGCCACTGCCAGAGTCCAGATGATGGCGAAGGCAATCAACAAAGTATTGGTACTTGAAAGTAATAGACAGGAAGCAGATGATTTCAAGAGAAAAAATGATTGCTGCGTATGTGCTAGCGGTGAAGAGTTGAAAGAATCAGAAATTTCCCAAACATCTTCAAATTCCAATTTTAAGGGTCCTGTTATGGAGTTATTATCGACAGCAAACTATGCAGAATGGGCCGAAAAATATTTGAAGTCTTCGTCGAATCAATTTGTCGCTCAGTCACTATTTGTGCTCTTCGGATCTGCTACAGTTGTCTTACTGGTTGGTTGCTGTGTCATTTTAACGAAAATACATTTTCATATGATTAATACTTGTATTACAAAATAATGACAATCACACAGGCGGATGAAGAATTTAACATGAAAGGAGTTGATTTTTCAGGGGCAGCGGGCAAGACGTTGTCAGGTTTGGTCGAAGAAATGCTCCACCTACAGGTTCCTAATGGAATTTTGTTAGCTTAACTTATAACATGTTTTTTTCAAGTGACGCAATCTGTTTTCTGGTGCACTTCACACATTTTCGAAAATTGAAAGCGAACTTATAAATTGCGTTTGGCAGCGGGTTTCGTTGAACTTAAGAACATGTTTCGATTCCATTATTCAGCCATTGTATTACAGAAAATGAACAAAAATACATTTAAGGACTTCGACGAGTTCATAAAAATGGCGGAAAGAGGCAACATGAACAAAGTGAACGGTTTGATGTCTGATTTGAAGAATTGCGAACACAGAGAGGAAGACTGGTACTCATTCTTCCCTGACGACTACCCCACCTTCGAACTTGGAAAACTCACCACAGCCAATGCCAAAGGAAAAGGTTTGCGTTTTAAACGACAAACAAAATCAAATTAATTAATTTTTTTCTACGATTTCTTTCACCCAACCTAAGTCTAATTAGTCTTAATAATTAAAACTTCCTTCACGAAAATAAACCTTCTAAAAATGTTTCTCCGATTCCTCTACAAAAAAGGGATTTACACGAAAGATGATTTGGCAGCAGGCATTTTAAACTTCCAGGCATCCAGTCTCAGCAAATTCGCATTCCACAACTGCTGTATCCACAAGGTTGATCGCGTTTACTTCTGTGGCTCCCTTATGAAGTATGACGTCGCTAGGAGCATGATTGCCACAAATTTCTTGACCGAATCATTTTGGCATAGCCTCGAAGGGGTTGGTTTGTGAAATTTTACGAATCAAAATAGTTTAAAATCATAGTGTAACGGTTAAGAAGGTGTCTGGCCGAGTGACCAAATTTGAATGTTTGAAGATCCCCACCCATCATCATACCACTTACGCTGTGTATTTGTTGTTGAGAATTGTATAAAACATAAAATAATGTAAAACAAATAACAAAATTAGATTACAAATTCAAAGTAATTGTGATTTTATTCACTAAGGGTGTCCTGATGAAGCCATTCTTCGTTCATCAGCCCGGATTCTTGGTGGTTCTTGGACTGTGGGCTGATAACGTCAAGTTAACTAAGCTAATGACAGATAACTTTTGATTGTAGCAGAAATGATATTAATTATTATTACATTTTATTGATAATTTTCTGAAAATATAAATACAAAATTTCGTCGTCAATCGAATTTTTGTTGTTTTAAAATAATTCAAGTAAAATGAATACAGAAATTTTATTTTAAATATTTTAAAAAAGGGATATATAAACATAAAAAGTCGAAATCATTTTAAAAGTAAATACATGGGAAAAAAACTAAAAAGAGTGGCCCGTATGGGGATCGAACCCACGACCTTCGCGTTATTAGCACGACGCTCTAACCAACTGAGCTAACGGGCCAACTGACAATCCTTAGTTTATTATCATGACTGTAATAATGCATTGGCTCAGGTACAGTTTAAATGAAATACTTTAAAAGAAAAAGTGTTTTATTTCAGCAGATTTTTGAACTTTAAACTATTCAAGCAACATATTTATTTTATATTATTAACTTTTAAAATTGTTTTACAATGTAACGGAATGACAAAATACAAAAAATCGATTAAAAAATTACAACCATAGTAATAAATAATATTATTATTATGGCTCATTTAAACCATAGAATTATATAACTAATTCAATGATTTAAACTAAATCTTTTTAAGTTTACTTTTAAATTATTTAAAGTTACCATAGAAACGTTTATTAAACAAAGTTTACTTTTCTCGCTAATCGCGAGCATTTTTAAATAAATTTGTGAACATTTTAAATTTAGAAATTGGAATATACGAATGACCGAAATAAAACTGCCCCAGCACATCTGGGGCTGCATTTTGAGAGAAATTGATCAAAGTGAAACTTCAGAAGTTAGGCAGTATTTAGGAGCATGTCTGGTTGATCAAACAATTGATCTGAAGACAGAAGTTAGTGAAATGTCTAATCATTAAAAACCAATAACCACCGCCAAACCGACATTTTATAACAATAATTTCAACCAAAAATAAGTCACTGGTTAATAAATACATAAATTTTTCAAAAAATTAATTTTATAATATAATTTTGTGACAAAAATCAGATTGGATTGTTGTTAGAAATTTACACTGAATACGGCGACAACAACGACGGCAGCAGTGAAAAAATGTCAACGACATTATTAAAGCTGCCAGAACCTACCAGCATCAGAGATATGCTGGTCAAAGACATCAGATTTTTAGTTGAAAATATTAGGAAAAAGACAGATGCTGATTTTAGGTTTGAACGAACGAACGAAAGAACGAACGAATAAATGAATGAATGAATGAATGAATGAATGTAACTAACATCTACTAAATGAAACATCCGAAAGGAAAAAGTTGGCCATAGAGAGTAGAATTGTTGAGTATGCATTTAATTGTCCTTCTGAAGATGGCGATAGTATTCACACTAATGCTGCAAGTCTGTTAATTACTTTATTATTATTATTACTAATTAATTAATTAATGTAATAATAATAATAACATAATATAAGAATAATAATTAAAAAATTATGATTCGCAAGAACCACAATCAAGGCCAGTATCATCTCTATCTGTAAGCTATGGAGACGATAGGTAAAATTTCAACTTATAATTTCTTTATTTGTTCATTCACTCAATCGTTCAGTCGTTTAACCATCCATCCATCCATCCATCCATCCATCCATCCATCCGTTCATTTATTTATTTATTTATTTATTCATTCATTCATTTATTCATTCATTCATTTATTCATTCATTCATTCACTGACGTAACAGACTAGACAATACAACAGTTGAGAAAAATTTGACCATCAATACGCTGGAAAAATCTCTAGAACATTTCAGGTTTGTGGCGTCTCTCTCTCTCTCTCTCTCTCTCTCTTTCTTTCTCTTTCTCTCTTTCTCTTTTTCTCTTTCTCTTTCTCTCTCATTCTTCTTTTTTCTTTTTGGCATTTCTTTTTTTTTCTCCGTCAATCAGTAGTTGTTTCAAAATTTTTTCATTCCCAAACCACAGAAACTTATTATGCGACGAGATTGAGCAATCAACGCGAGCCATCGAGTTGCTCCAAGTTTGCCCGCCAACTAATTAACATAATTCATTCATTAATTCATAAATATCATCAACAACAACAATAATAATAACAACAACAGCTGCAATAATAATAATAGCAATAATAATAATAATTGATGTCAACAACAGGAGGCCATTGAAGAAAAATCTGCCATCACAAAACCCCTGAACTCCCCTTCAATAACAGGTTGTGATGATGATGACGATAACGACGACGATGATAATGATGACGACGATGATGATGACGATGATGATGGTTGTGGTGGCGCTAACGAATTCACTCTATCAGACCTTCAAAAAGAAAGAAGCGCCCTTGATAAATTGAATCGGGAAATTTCATTGATCGACTCCGATCATCATTATCACCATCAACAACTACAACAACAGCAGCAGCAACAACATCAACGTCAGCAGCAGCAAAAGCAGCCACAACAACAGCCACAACAACAACGACAAAATGGCACGAATAAAAATTTTCGAAAAGACAAAGAGTTAAGAAGTTTAGTAGGCGAGATTTTTGAAAATCAATCGAAGCAACAACAACAACATCAACAACAACATCAACTCAATAACATCAACGACAAGTCGTTGTCTTGTAAAACGGTTGATATCAATAGATTTGCGAAAAAGTTGGTCAGATCCAAAACTTGTAACCAAATTTCTAATGTGAACAACAACAACAACAACAGCAACAACAACAACAACAACGACAACAACAGCAACAACAACAACATCAACACCAACAACAACGACATCAACAAAAATAAAAAGCCTTATGTGGATGCGATAAAACACATAATAATAAAATGCAATGAACTTACTCCGCGAAAGCAATCATCACCTCTCAAGCCGCCATTATTATCAACACCACCACTATCATCATCATCATCACCACCGCTACCACCACCATCATCATCGTCGTCATCATCACCATCGTCTGGAGTTTTTTCTTCCAAGACATCATCGCAATTGAAAAATTGTGACATGTCACAATTATCATCATCATCGAAAATTTCACCATTGTTTTCATCATCATCATCATCATCTTCATCCTCTAGACAGTCATCGTCAATATCATCACCATCACTGCCACAATCGTCATCATCATCATCATCGTCGTCGTCCTCGTTAAATAAACTGACCTCGGCGCAAAGATTTAGAAACGCCGTATTGAACTGTAGACAATGATGACGATGATGATTATTATTATGATTATTATGATTATTATTATTATTATTATTATTATTATTATTATTATTATGAGTACGCTTTATTCAAAAGCAGCATGTCGATTTTCCTTAGTTTATTTACAACTTTTTTGACCAAATAAAATTGAAAACTTTTCGCTTGAATTTCTTGATTTCTTAAAAATTTATTAATCCATTCATTTAGTCATTTATTCAGTCATTCATCCATTCATTCGTTCATTCACTAGTTCGTTCATTCATCATTCTATGCATTCATTCATTCAATCACTCATTGAGCCATCTATCGATCGATTTAGATATTACATACAGTAATTCATTACCAATTTAATCAGTCATCAATCCTTCCACTCATTCACATTCATTCATTCATTCATTTATTCGTTCGTTCATTCATTCATTCATTCATTCATCACTCCATCCATCCATCATCTTCACGGAGGACGCTCAGACTACTGTTGCTAAGCCGTATGTGTCGGTCTGCAAAAAAATATTTCTCTTCAAAATAAGGAGGAAAATAATTATCTTTAAATAATAATAATAATTATTATTATTATTGCTATTATTATTATTATAATTATGTAATTTATTAAAATGATATTATATACATAGTCAATCGTGATTTCAGTTAACCATGGTTAAACAATGATGATGATGATGATGATGATGATGATGATGATGACGACGATGATGATGATGATGACGACGATGATTATTATAGTTATGATGATGATGACAACGACAAAAAGATGTTCAGGTTGTCATTCAGATGACCATTCAAGCACCCTCTGTTTTCTTTCTTTTTTGCAATTTTTTCTCATTTCAAATTTTTAATTCATCATTCAGTTTTTCATTCATTCACTCCTTCAATTATTTTTTTTTTTTTATTTACACATTCACTCCTTCGTTCATTCAATCGTCCATACATTTTTTTTTATTTTAAGCATTTGGTCTTAATTATAGTACGACTGTTTTCAGATTTTTATCATACTCGCGGTCGTCTTCACCATCATCATTATCATCACCACCACCATCATCGTCATCATCATCATCACCAGGAGGATCAATCAATCAATCAATCAATCTTCAATCATCGATTGAACTGTAAGCATTTAACTAATCAATCACTCCATTATCAATACGCAGTGCCCAGAGTAGAACTTTGGTTTGCTTGTTTGTTTGTTTGTTTGTATGTTTGTTTGTTTGTATGTATGTATGTTTGTAGGTATGTATGTATGTACGTACGTACGTACGTACGTATGTATGTTTGTATTTATATTTCAGTTGCTATTTATAGTTTTTTTTAGTTTAAGTTCAGAAATTGTGCTTCATATTATAGTTCAATTGTTTGTTTTTTTTTCTTACAATCATTCTTTCTATCGTTCATTCATTCATTCGATTGGTCATTCATTCATTCATTCATTCATTCATTCATTCATTCATTCATTCATTCATTCATTCATTCATTCATTCATTCATTCATTCATTCATTCATTCATTCGCTCATTCATTCATTCATTCGTTAACTCTGACGTCATCATCGACGTCACCCTCATTAAAGTCATCATCGTCGTCGTTATTATTGTCATCATCACCTCTTGAATGTGTGACCGGGAGGAAGATAATTGCAGGCCTCCCCTATTTCTTTCATTCAACTCTCTCTCTTTCTCTTTCTCACTTTTTTTCTCTCTCTTCTCTCTTTCTCTCTCTCTTAATTTTTATTTTCATTATTGCTTTGTTGTCAAGAAGATATGTAGTAAATTCATATACCAGATGGATACGTTTTAATGCCGAACCATGCTGTGTAGTACAGTTGTTGTTCCCGGCAATCTTTGATGCCTCTGCCTGCCTTCCTATAACAAATTCGTAGTTTTATTTTGTCAGAAGAGGTTTGAAATTTTTATAAATGATTTGTTTTAAGACGGATTCATCCGGTTTTGTAGCTGGTTGGTGTTCATATGATTCTTATTATAAAACATGATGCTGTATTTGGATTACTGTGTTGTGGGTTGTTAAGTTATATGTATATATATTTTTATGTATATAAGAAAGAAAAAAAAAGAGAGAGGAGAGAGAGAGAGAGAGAGAGAGAATAACACGGAAAAAAGTGGTGAGAGAGTGAGAAAGAGAGAGAGAGAGAGAGAGAGAGAGAGTTTATAAAGTCGAGCATAGAAAAAGACATGGAAGATTCTTTAGTTGATTTGTTGACTGAAACAAAAAAAATTATAATATAATAATAATAATAACAATAATAATAATTGTAATAGTAATAATAGTAATAATAAAAATATCTTTGTAATCATTGGAAAAGTTTCGGTTAGGTAATGAAATGACGTCACAGAAATTGGTATGGTTGTTTACACTCCTGCTCTGCTGCTGTTTCTTCGCGGTTGTCAGCATGAAAAGTTAGTTATCATCGTCTTCATCATCATCATCTTAATCAACTTCGTTTTAGTAATAGTGTTAGCAGGGTTTTTAAGAATAATATGAAATTATCATGAAATAAATGAGTGAATTAGTGAATTAATGAATCAATAAATAAATGAATTAACGAATTAATGAATGAATTAATTAATGAATTAATAACTGAATGAATTAATGGATAATTAAAATAACCCAATGAACGAATGAACGTATAAAAAACACGAATGAATGATCAGAAAATTGAATTAGGCAGCCAATCTTTAATTAAAGGAATGTACGAACGAATGAACGAACAATTGATTGAATGAATAAATGAACAAAAGAATGAAAGAATAGATAAATTGAATAAATGAATCAAAGAAGGAGCAGAATGAATGGACAAATTAATGAGCGGACTAATCAATGAATTAATCAATGAATGAATACATCTCAGAAATATCTCAATAGCAAAAACAACAACAATAATAATACAAATAATAATAAACAATAAGAATAATAATGATAAATTTTATTATTATTATTATTCTTATTTTGCATGGCGCGAGGTCAGAGGTCATTTGGCGACGTAGCCGAGAGAGAGAGAGAGACAAAGACGGCCTTGACACTGTGAAGAAAGCACGCATAAACAATTGAAGGAATAACAACAGCAATAAAAACAATAACAATAATAATAATAAAATATAAAAATAATAATAATAATATTCAAATGATTATAGCAGGAGTGTAGCATTACTTTTTTTAAGAAGAAGTTTAATG